TGCTTGGTACGGTGGAGGGTCGACGAAAGAGGGGGAGGCCTTCAACGAGATGGATTGACACGGTGGCTATGATGACAGGCTCAAGTATAGCAGGGATTGTGGGGCTGGCACGGGATCGGGCAGTGTTTCGTTCTGCTGTGCATGGGGTCGCTATGAGTCGGAAATGACTCGACGGCACTTAACAACAATAACAACATTAAATCCAGTAGATTCCTATATTTCTATAGTGGTAGTTCAGTGGTAGAATTCTCACCTTTCGTGAAGAAGACCCGGGTTCGATTCCTGGCCAGAGCACCTCAAGCACAGCCACCACCTGCCTGTCAGTGGAGGCTTGTGTGTTACTGTGATGCCGAGCAAGCTTCAGCAGACCTTCCTGACTGAGAAAGTCTAGGAAGAGAGGCCTATGATCCACTGCCAAAATCAGCCACTGGAAACCCTTCTGGATCACGGTGGTTGGATCTGCAGTCAGTCATGGGGATGACACAGGAGTGGGTAGCATTTCATTCTGGTGTGTGTGAGGTCACCAGGAGTTGGAGGCTGATTGGACAGCAGCTGACAATAATATCAACAGATTGCTATAGACATCTAAATCAGTTGCTGAGGCTTATGGTACTTGAACATTTATCCTGAACATGTTTAAGTGGTTTATAGAGAAATAATAGCCACGCTGTTCAATTTAATGTCAAATGACACAGGCTTCTTTGGGGTCCACCCTTCATTTATTCCTTTCCTCATTTCTCTCCTTATCCATTCCCTACATCTGTGTTCTTCTCTAGTCTCTCCTGCTTCCTATAAGTTGGACCAACCTGATTGGAAATGATTGTTTTGCTCCTTCTGAGTAGTCTCATCTAGCAGTTACCACTGTACTGCTCCCTCCCTCACCTGAGAAGTCCTGATATTTGGAATAGTGTTTGCAAAGGGCTTTGAGTCTATACACTTAGAATCTTTACGTCCAGGCTGTGACTAAATGGCCATTCCAGCCTTACCCCACTCTCCCTTTGAATTTGAATACATGGATTTTAAAATTGTTCCTCTAAAAATCTGTTTAATTTTTCTTCTCTAGTTATTATGCCAAGGAGCACTGGTGGCATAGTGGGTAAGGCATTTGGCTGCTAACCAAAAGGATGGGGGTTCAAACCCATCAGCTGCTCTATGGGAGGAAGATGAGGCAATCTACTTTTGTAAAGATTTACAGCCTTGGAAACCCAGTAGGGTTTGCTATGAGTTGGAATCAACTCGATGGCAGTAGATTTCGTTTGGGTTTTAGTTATTACCCTTACCACTTCCTCAACGTCATATGTCTGTCATTGAGATGAAGTCCTGGGAGAGTTCTTTGCTATGAAGTACCTGGATTGATGTCCAGAACTCCTGCATTTCCTTGTTCCCAAGGTTATATTTGCTTTGTAACCATACTCTCCTTTCTCACAGCTGCCTCTTAGTCCAGGGCAGCAAAGTACACAGCCATCATATTTACAGCCTATTTCCCTTAAGAAATATAAACAGAAAAAGAGATGAGCCTTCCCTTCTTGGAAACAGGAGACTTTCAGTCTCTGGATAGCACCTTAAAGCTATTTGGAATGCAACATGGAGTCAGTGCTAAATTCTAAGAGGAAGGGAGAGGCTTTTCCATGTCCCTATTGGAATGCCTTTGGCTGTCCAAACAAGAAGCCAGTTGTCACATGTCCTTGACCCAATTTACTGAACAATGCATTTTTTCTGTGTGAGGAATTAGAACTGCTTGCTTTAAAGAAGTCATGGGGCAGAAAATCTCCCCAGAGTACATAGAGAAAATCTTAGCAACCTCCTTGGTTGATAAATTGAATTTGTATATGTATGTATACACAGTAAAACCTACGAAAGCTGGAACCTGTATTAGGTGGAAACCTGTTAGAAAAGAAAAACTCAAATATTTCCCACTAAAAGAGAAAAGTGGTAAGAGTACACCGTCAAAGGTGGAAAACTTTCATGACACTGAAAAAGAAGGCAATCTCATTGGGTTCTGGGCAGCTATATATAGGTTTTGCTATAGATTGAATATAGATATATTGAGTATATGTATGTATGTATATGTATGTGTGTATGTTTTAATACTGTGTAGATACAGCTTTTTAATGAGTTGCTCATGTAATTAGTATTTTATAATGTTGATATATGGTATCTTCTACCCAGTAGACCCAATTGGCATCATCACTGCCCTTTTTCTTCATCATAACCACCTCTTCTCCATTCATTTTCATTGAAAGAGGAAAGAAAAAGGCCTCTATCAGATGATTGCTTCCCTGTTTGCATATGTGTTTGTCATTGCTCCTTCCCCTTTACTACTTCAGACATGTTATTTGAGGAAACTCAAAAGGGAAAGTCCTGCAGCCCAGCTTTAAGAGTAACATTGCTTTCATTTCCTCCCCTCCATCCTGATGGCTAGAGAACACCTGTCTGCGCAACCAGTATCGCTGCAGCAATGGGAACTGTATCAACAGCATTTGGTGGTGTGATTTCGACAATGACTGTGGAGACATGAGTGACGAGAGAAACTGCCGTGAGTCTTCTGGCTGGCTGAGTCACCGGATGTTGAACGTTTAACCTCACTCACAAAGCTGGTCAGGTCCTTGTGGCAGGGGGCCTACATCCTAGTGTGCTGGTCACCGGTGATTGGTGAAGGCCATATAAGCTGATAGGACTTGGGTAACCAAGATAAGGTTTTCATAACCAATTATACATTTTTCTCAGATATATGTTACTCTTTTTTCAAAAAAGCATTAAAAGAAATAGCAACAACAAAAACATCTAAGTAACTACTCATTATAAGAGACTTATGGGTGAGTATTACATGGTCTAAAGTAAGCAGGTTTTGGAGTTGGGCAGTCTAGGCTTTAATGTTGGCCCCAGCACTGTAATAAAGCAGGTGACCTGAAGAAGTTCTTTGATCTGTAAATTTGATACTCAGCCTTTCAGAGAAAGCAAACAGGTTTTATTTTGTATGCTGCTCCAAGCAGTTGATATCGGCTGCCTGCCAGGCTAAGGAGAGAGAGTTCTAATTGATTAGTGATGCCTAGTGTGGCCTGGGCTGTAGACGTGGCCATGTGTGCCATGCAAATGTCGTCATTGGACTGGAGGCCTTCTAGAGTCCTAACTACTAAATGGAGTCCTGGGGTGGGAAAAATGGCCTGGCAATCTGCTTCTGAAAAACACACCATTGAAAGCCCTATGCAGCACATTTGCACTCTGACACATGGAGTCAACATGAGTCAGAGTCAAACTCTACTCTAATGCACATAGGGTTGCCGTGAGTTAGCAACTGGTTTGGTTTAACTACTAAAGTATATGATTCAGTTTAGCAGAATCTAAAGGCAAACTACTAGTTATAATGGATAATTTGCCAAAAGTTTTAGCAGTCCATCTTTTCTTCACTTAATTTTTAATAGCTTCAACATCAACTTGTAAGGAGGTGCTTTGCCCATCTCTGAGTTAGCAATACATCCATCAATCCATTCAGTAAGTATTAAGTACCCTCTTTGTATCAAGCCCTGGACTAGACTCTGGCATAGTCCCTGTCCTCATGAGTCAGGAAAGTAAACTGGCGGTTATGTAACATGATGAATTATATGTTGAGGAAGGCCACGTGCATGTAGGAGGGGTGCCCAAATCAAACTTAAAAAAAAAAAAAAAACGCCAAACTGCCATTGAGTTGATTTCAGCTCATAGTGACCCCTATAGCATTTCCAGTGCTATAAATTTTTACAGGAGCAGATTGCCTCATCTTTGTCCCTGGAGCAGCTGGTGGGTTCAATCTACTGACCTTTTGTTTAGCAGCCTAGTGCCTTAACCACAGTGGCACCAAAAAGCAAACCAAACACACTGCGGTCGAGTCGGATCCGACTCATAGCGACTCCTCCTTGGGTTTCTGAGGCAGTATCTCTATGGAAGTAGATTGCCCAGTCTTCCTTCCGAGGAGTGGCTGGCTGGTGGGTTTGAACCTCCAGCCTTCTGGTTAGCAGTCAAATGCCTTAGCCACTATGCCAAATCAAACTTACGTAGGCGTTAATAAAGAACCCTGAAGAGTGAGTAGAATGAGCCAGGCAGAGGTAGAGGGAAAACATCTTTAGGCAAGGGAGCAGCATATGTGACCACCCAGAGGTATGTGTCGCTTGGATGAGAACCTGAGAAAGCTTAGTGGGTTAGCAGAGAGTGTGAGTGAGGGCAGTAGGCAAGGTAAGGATGGATGGGCAGGGCCCAGATCAGCAGAGGTCTTGTGAGCTGGGTAGGAATTTTGGACTTTTCAGAAGAGAAGTTGGGAGCCATTGAAGTGATGGATAAGACTTTGGCTTTGGAAAGATAAGCAGGGGGCAGGGAAGCCAGAAACCAAGCAAAATGCTTCTCTCTTAGATATTTTACCTTTGGAAATCCAGAAGCTCATTTGCCAATGTGTACCATGAGAACAGATTAATGAGTGGCTCCATGTACTTCCATCATCTGTCCTCCAGCTGATGTATTTAGCCAGTCACCCATGCAGCCTACACCAGATCCACATGCCACATAACCCAGAAAGCAACTTAGGAGTTTGTTCATTAGACTCTGAGCCCTGTAATACCTTTTAGCCTGCCACTTCTAGCTTATTGTAGGTTGTTTACTGAAACCTTTCCTAAATTGTTTTCCTTTGGCTTCAGTGAATATTTTTCACATGGAAAGAGAACCAAAAAAAAAAAAAAAAAAACCACCCACTGCCATTGAGTCATAGTGACCCCCATTAGGTTTCAAGGCTGTAAATCTTTACAGAAGTAGATTGCCTTACTTTCCTCCCATGGAGCAGCTGGTAGATTTGAACCGCTTACCTTTTGGTTAGCAACCGAATGCCTTAACCACAGCTCTACCAGAGAAGAGCTTACTAAATGGGCAAAACCAACCAGAAAAACCAGTTGCCATATCAAGTTGATTCTGAGTCATAACATCATGACAACCCCAAGTGTTCTAGAGTAGAACTATGAAATACGGAACTGAACTGGCTGTGACCTTTTCCTAGTTTGGTGTAAATGTCAGCTGAGATTGACCTTCCTGAGACCTTGACACTAGCTTTCTTCTTTTCTTTCTCCTAACTCCAACTGACTTAAGTCCCAGCAAGTCAGACTTGGCAGAGGTAAGGAGATAAGGAGTGTAGGGGCTTAGAAAGTAGTGTCTGGAACAAGAGTTGGCACTTACCTTCTCAGCTTCCCTTATCAAGGAAGTCAGCACTGGGGAGAGTGGTGCTTATCAAGTTGGCAAGGGTACCCCCTGCTGGGGCAGGGCTATAGGAGAAGCACAAGCTACCAAGGGGAACTGTGTCAGAAGTTAAGTGGGGCATCCTGTAAGCTGCCAGGGATGAGAAGCTGAAGGGAGATAAAGGCAGACGCAGGAGGGATACTGTCAGATTCTCCTCCTTCCTGAACAGACTCCCCAGCTGGGTAGTTGTCAGGCTCTGAGGGTTTTGGCATGAATCCCCTGTAGTCTTGTCATTTTTGCATTCATCCCCTTCCTCCCACCAAGAGCTCAATTACAGAGGAGAAATGGAGCCCCAAATAAGAGCTGCCGGGGATGTCTAACAGCAGTGATGCCATTTGGCTTTTCGTTTCACTGTACGCCCACACCCTCCATCCCAGAATTCTGTTTTGTCATATCAGGCCTTCAGCTGCTCCTGAGAACAGCTTTTCTTCCCTACGACTTTCCTGGCAGCCTGTTTCCTGGTTCCTAGGGATTGTGCTTAAGCCCAGGAAATTTCTATGCAGAAGGGAGAGCAAATCTAATTCTGTACTCATTCTGATGCCAGAAGAGCTCAGAGGAAGGGAACTGGCATTTGTTTCAAGTCATTATATTTATATCTTATTTTATGGGTTCTGCTCCCAACTTTGTCTTCTTAGCTATCTTCATAATAATGCTATGAAGTATAGGTATATTCTCCATTTTATGATACAGGAAAACAGAGGTACAGATGGTTAGGATTAAGTTGTAGGTGGTAGAATCAAGATTCAGATTTAGTTGTTCTGACTGGTCACAGCTTGGCTTGTCTACATTATGTTATTCACATTTTGCTGAGGAGGAAATTGAGGCTCAGCGAGGTTCAATTAATTTTAACTTCAGAAAGAGGCAGAGCCAGGGTTTGAAACCCAGTGTTGATTGCCTGCAGAGCCCCTGTCTTCACTACAGAGCTCTGCCTCCACATCCCCTTTATCATACATGCAATGAAGTGCTAGCGTCTTCTGTGAAACTGGGTTTCCTTAATGGTAGTTTTCTGGATAAAGGTATTTTTGTCACTTACTTAGGAAGAAACCTTCATATTTGTAAGCCTTCACATCTGAAAGGATCTTGGGAGGTTATCTAACCCATTACTCTCTCACCCAGCCAGGCAAGTTTCTCACTTTTCCCAGCCTTGTTCAGATCTGGAAACTGTCCATGCAAAGATAAGCTCTTATCTCCCTTGGTTGCAGATTTCAAGTTCTCATGCAATTCGTTTCTACCATAAGTTTAGATTTAATTTCTGCAGCTACAATTAAAGTCTGTTCTCTTCTGTTTTTTGATTGGTGTCCCAGAGGTATGTTGTACCTGACTGGTATGTCCTATCTCTTTCCCATTTTAGCTACCACCATTTGTGATCTGGAAACCCAGTTCCGTTGCCAGGAGTCTGGGACCTGTATTCCACTCTCCTATAAATGTGACCTGGAGGATGACTGTGGAGACAACAGTGATGAAAGTCACTGTGGTAAGGGGACATGAGGTCTGTGGATTCTGTTCCAGGTGGGACACCACTTGAGCTTAGTGGTGCTTGCTGTTTTTCATGAGGATTCAGTTCCACTGGAAAAATTTGATCCAAAGTAAATGGGACACTGGATTCATGGGCAGAAAAGATGGTGACTTGTGTCAGCTCCTGTCACTTATTTACTCTTTAATTAGCCTTTGTTTTCTAATCCACAAAGTAGGGAGGAAACCCCTGCTTTACCTTTCTGGGAGTCCCTGAGTAGTACAGATGGTTAAGGCGCTCTGGTGCTAACTGAAAGGATGGAGCTTTGAGTCCATCCAGAGACACTTGGAAAAAAGCCCTGGAGATCTACTTCCAAAATACCAGCCACTGAAAACACGGTGCAACACAGTCCTGCTCTGACACACATGGTGTTGCCATGAGTTAGGGTGGGCTCAACAGCTGCTGGCTTGATTTTGTTGGTTTTACCTTTCAGAGATGCTGTAAGGATAAAATATAATGAAAAGGAAGATTTCCACATGAATTCAGGCAGATATTAAAGTGGTCCAGACTTCTGAGTGTCTGTGATATTAGCCTTTCAGAGGCACATATCTATGTTTTTGTGACCTGTCTTTAGCCAGTCTAATTCAGTAAACTCTGTTGGGAGTCAGCAGATAGTATAAGCATTGAATGAGCATCTGTTTTCTGAATGGAAATATTTTCTACTTAGAAAAATAATTTATTAGAATTAATACATTAGTTCAGTTCTTTAATTTTGAGATTAAATGACTGAAACCCATAATGTCAGGGAACTTACTCAAGGTGACATGATTAGTTTATGGCAGAATGAAGGAACTGGGACACATTTCTTCTGTTTTCTCTTTCTGGACCCCTTCCATTGAAGAATAATGCCCTGTGAGTTTGATGAAGGCCCATCCTTCAAGCAAGCACCACTGAGCACAGGTGGTATCTATAGACTTGGGGCCTAATTTGTAGCTGCTGACTGTCTACAGAGGAAATGTTATGCAACATACATGTTGCCCCAGATTGGGGAACCATATGCATTTAAAGGAAGTGAAGATGGAGTCCAAACACGAACCCAGACATTGTGATGAGTTAGTATGGCCCTTCTGGCCTCCCTGTCTCTGTCCATGGAGGGTGGGAAAGTCAAGCTGTGCACATACATGTGGGCAGGGCAGCTGTATGATGAGCAGGCACTTGACTCATAGGCACTGAGATAAGAGAAGCAGTAGCTGCTCATACATACTTTTACATGGTTAATCCATGTACACCATGCACTCAGGGCCACTTTCATGATTTTCAAGACTTTCCTAGCTTGGGTCTTAGAGGAACTTTTTTGGGGATTATATCATTTCCCTTCATCTTGGTCAAAAGGTGAAGTACATGAAAGTAAGTCCTTGGATTCACAACACTTTCCACTTCTTAAATTTCTATCAGTTCTTCCCCAGCACAGCACACTCCTACTGTTACAGTGCACAGCTAGGTTTGCCACAGTTGAGAGGAAAGTCCATTTAGTTACATGTCTCTGGTGTCATCCAGCTTACACACTGGGCACAGGCTTGACTTTTAAACACTCTCAGTTCCCAGATCATTCATTCTTGACCTATTCTTGCCAGTTTATCCTGAACCCATCCCAAGGTCCCAGTGAGTCCCTTTGTTAGATTGAGTCTAGTTAATTACTCTTCAGACTGTTTCCTCATAAATATCTGAATCACCAACTTAACCATCAACTTCCTTTTGAGTAAGGCAGCTTGGGTAGCACCCTCAGCCCCATACTTGGCTTCTCCTGTTGTCTGACCCACTGCCATCAAGTTGATTCCAACTCATAGTGAACTCCATTGGGTTTCCAAGGCTGTAAATCTTAACAGAAGTAGATTGCCTCATCTCCTTCCCATGGAACAGCTGGTGGGTTTGAACTACTAACCTTCTGGTTAACACCCAAATGCCTTACCCATTACACCATGAGAGCACCTTCCTTTTTTCTGAAGATCTTTAAAATTTGGTTTTAAAATTCCATGGTAACAATATCCCAAAGACTTACGATAGATGCTGCCAGTGCAGGCTCCTTTCAAGTCATGGTTAGACCGCACTGCTTCATTTGCCCCAGGCCCCCACCCTTCTAGAGACAGCACACTCACCAGCATCAATGGAGTTTTGCCTACAGAAAGTCCCTCACTTGTGTTTCCTATTTGGAAGCTCAGTAGTAATCTCACTTTGCCTGAGCTGAGCATCTGCTATTGATAAGCACACGTAGAGCTCTGATTACACCTTTTCTGAAACCGCATGCTCTGTCTCTAGAAGTCTTCTGTTTTTCCCTGGGGTCACTGTCCTTATAGGTTATTGCTTTCCAACCTCTTCCCATCATACCAAACATGTTGTTAGCTGCCGTCAAGTCGGCCCATATTCATGGTGACCTATGTACAACAGAATCAGACTCTTGATTTCCATAGGCTAATTTTTGACAGTAGATCATCAGGTCTTTCTTCCTATAGCAAGCATAGAAACTGTTAATGTTTATGGAGCACATTGGGCTAAATCAACAAAACTGTTTTTTTCTAGAGAGAACTAGCTGCAGGTGTCTGAGGATATTGGTAGCTCTGCATACCTGTAAACTATTTGGGAAACTATCTTAGATTACCTTACATTCCTAGGTGAAGGTCTCTTCTTCCATGCCATCTCTGGATAATTGGTGATAATGAGTCTATCTCTAACCCTTATGAGCTTTGATACCAGAGACGGAATTCTGTGTTGCTGGGGTCATTGGTTTGATGCCGTTTATAAAGGTTTTGTCTTCTTATCTCTGTGTTCATGCTCTCACCTGCAGAAACTCACCAGTGTCGGAGTGATGAATACAATTGCAGCTCTGGCATGTGCATCCGCTCCTCCTGGGTGTGTGATGGGGACAATGACTGCAGGGACTGGTCTGATGAAGCCAACTGCACTGGTGAGTACTTCCTGGACTCAGTTAAGGAGCATTCATCTGTTCGTGTACTGGTTAGCATCACAGCCCTAAATGATAGTATACTCTGGGCTTTCAGAATTGTCTTAGACCTTAGAAATCAACAAGTTCAGTGTTTTGCAAAGACCTGGTTGAAGATGAGATAAGGAGCTTGTGCCAGAATGTAATTGTAATTCAACATATGGCTTTCTTCACTGATAAAGTCTCACTAAGAAAAAATGTGAACTGACTAAATAGTGTCCTGAGTGATATAGTTGATTTACATTCAGAGTCAAGTTTCTTAGGACCAGTACTAAGCGATTCACTGACCTGGTTCCTGGTCTGGGGACCACACCTGGAGTAACACTAAAAAACCAATAAGAATAAGAAAGCAATGCTAGGTGGATGTAAGTCATAGACAATGTTCTATTCTTTTGTTGGTTGGTTCATTTATGTTCACTGCATTATTTTTTATGAATGGATGGATGGAGCCATATACATATGGTGAGATAGGGGAAGCAAGGATTTGGGGGTGGCGTGTGGAGGGAAGAAAAGATAAATGCAGCTACCTGATGAGTAAGTTCTTTTTGAAAACTCTTCCAGAACTTGTCGTTCAGTTCTTAGAGTGATAGACATAAAGATGTTTAGTTTAACCTTTGTATGGACAGAGCAAATCTGCATTTATGCCCTAGTTCAGGTGTAATTGTTTTGCAATTTGTTGTTAGAGTCAACTTCTCCATTGTCTGTTGTGGATGATTAATCTTGTGAATTATTGGAATAACAGTTAAATCCCATGTCTTATTCTTCATTGCCCCAAAGTTTCCATACCACTGGGCATTAGGGAACTCAAAGCATGACAACTTTTACAGTAGTAAAAACTACTGTAATGAAGAAGATAGATCTGCTACTGAAGGAAAAACTACATCCAAACTCAAATATAAATAAATTTGGATTATGCTCTGGCATAGACTTGGTTCCTGAAGGGCAGAGATGACCTTGTCTTTTACTCCCCTGCGTTCTCCACACTGCCCAGCACATAATACATGCTTGGCTAACAACCTTTGTTGATTAATTTTATGCAACTATGTTATTCCATTCATTTTGGTTCAGAGGTGACCTTATGTGGCCTTAAAGAGTAAATGGATCTCCTGAAATGCCATCTACATCTCACAGGATGTTTTATGATGCAGTCAAATTCTGTACCTTTGTAAATGTCATCCATATCCTTCCTGGCAGTCTCACTATCAGACCTCTGCTTCTGAGAGAGAAAAAGTTTCTCTTTGTCTGTAAGGCTGTCCTGAAGAGGAAAGGAAAACTGAGATTCATGAATGAACTGCCATCAGACCAGGAAACATGTGGAGGTTTTGAGTTTGGATAGATAATTAGTTAATCAGTTAGAAGGAGCCACTTGGGCATTTCATTGTGATTGGCCATCTTGTTTGGATTAAAAAAAAAAAACTGCCATCAAGGCAATTCCAACTCATAGCAACCCTACCGCAGAGGGTAGAACTGCCCCATAGGCTGTAAATCTTCACGTTAGCAGTCTGCCTCATCTTTCTCCCTTGGAGCAGCTGGTGGGTTTGAAATGCCAACCTTTTGGTTAGCAGCCCAATGCTTTAACTACGGAGCCACCAGAGCTCCTTGGACTTCTTGTTAGCACAACCATAATAGTCAGATTTGCATTCCAAAAGCATGCGCTGGTCCTTCAGAATGAATGAGCAACCTCATTTCTATGGGATGGTTTGTTATAAACTCCTGGTTTCATCTCTAGGTTTCTTCTGGCAAGGCAAATGGGAAAATTTATAGTCCTTGCTACTCAACTGCAGCCTTGTTCTGATAGCTTTTCTCCCAAACCTTTTAGAGATGACCCTCCTTTTCCATCATCCTAAAATAGTCAGAGGTCAGATGTGAACTCATTAAAATGTGTGGCATGACACTTCATTTCCTGTCCTAATAAATTAAGCTATTACCACAGAGCCAAAGAAAATAGGTCAGGGCCAGCTGACCTTCAGTTGACCTCAGCTCTTGGGCCTTCTCTGTGCCATGCTTTTTCTTTGCTCTTCCCTCCCCCTTTTTCTTTCTATTGAGTTGTTTGAGCTTTCTTTACTCTTCTCATTCCCTGTTGCTTTTGTAGTTACACATTTTTTTGTGTTCTTTCAGCTGTTAACTTTAGACATTTTTCTTTCTTTTTTATTATAGCAATATACATACTACAAAACATACACTATTTCATCAATTTCTACCTGTACAGTACAGTGACTTTGATTGCTTCCTTCAAGTTGTGCAACTATTCTTGCTATCTTTATCCAAATTATCCCACCACCTTTCACGTATATTCATTGTATTCTTAGCAAAGACTTCCACTTTTTCTTTCTGTCTCACCCATAGTAATCACTCATTACTTCTGATTTCTATGTAATTTCTTATTTTATGTGATACCATACAGTGTTTGTTCTTTTGTGCCTGACTTATTTCACTCAGCATAATGGCCTCTAAGTTCACCCTTGTTAGGGCATGCATCAGAATGTCATTCTCCTTTATGGCTGAGTAATATTCTTTTATATATTTATGCCATATGTGTATTTCTGATATCTGTTTTCCTCTCCTAGGCAATACAAGGACTTTAGAATGCTTTGGATACAATCTCTGTCCACATCGCCACAATACAGTTAAAATGTAATTTTAACATGTAAAAATCCTAAAATTAGTCATTGTTGTTATTATATCTTAATAATCAAACTTATTTGTAATTGTCTACCTAGTTAGCAGCTACTCTTTTGCATAGTGGGTTTCATGCCTCTTTTTTATATAAGGGAGTTCTGGTGGCATAGTACCCAAGGCATTTGACTGCTAACCAGAAGGCTGGCGGTTCAAACCTTCCAACCACTCCTTGGAAGGAAGGTTGGGCAATCTACTTCTGTAGTGATACTGCCTCAGAAACCCAAGAAAAGTCACTATGAGTCAGATCCAACTCGATGGCAGTGCATTGCGTTGTTGCATTGCTTTTTTTTTTTTTTTTTTTTAATAAATCCTTCAGTACTTCTTGTAGGAGTCTGCAAGTAGTAAACTTTCAAGGCTTTGTTAGTATAAATATATCTCTATTTCACCCTCATTTCTGAATCCAAATGGGCTGGAGATTTCTAGTTTTGTTATTTTCCATAACTATTTTGATGGAATTTTCCTATTTCTTTCTGGCCTTTTTTGTGCTAATTTTAATTATTTTCTCCATAGTCTCTTTATGTTATTTTTGGACTCTTTTTGTTATGCAGTTCTCCTACCTAGGTGTGACTTTTTTTTAAAAATTGTTTGTGAAACTTGTTTTCCTTCTAGAATCTCACTATTTATGTTTTTCATCAGTTCTTGGAAATTACAACCATTCAGCTGTGCCCATTTGCTGCTTTCTCTGGTCTTCTGTCTTTACTCTCAGCCATTTGTTGGACTAATTCTATTGTTTATGTCTCCTAGTTGTTTTTATATTTTCTGTCTCTTTATTATTTTGTGCTGAAGTCCGAGGTACTTTCTCAGATTTATCTTCATTTTAATAATTCTCTTTTCAGCTTTATCTATCTGCTGTTTAACACACTGAGATATTTCTATTTCCAGTACTATATATATGTGTGTGTGTGTGAGTGATTTTTTAAAAATACTTTTAATATCTAGAATTTTTACATGGTTGCTTTCCAAATCTGTCTTTTATTCTTCAGTATCCTTTCTTTATGCTTTGTTTCCTTTATTAGGGCATTAATCATTCAAACTGTATTTAAATAAGCATTTCTTTTCCCTCATGCACTCTTTTTTTTTTTTCTTGTGATGTGGGTACAATCCCTCATGCACTCTTTAACAATGTGGAGTTTCTTGTAAGAAACTTGGTGTTGCTTTCCTGTTTACAGTAACTGCTTATCTGTTCTGCCCCAATTATGTTTGATTAATGCCTTTGATCAGGTGTTCCAGTGGGGCTTGCCGAGTGTAATAGAGAAAAAGAGACCCCAGATTGAAACAGGTTCAATAGAGACACTTTTATTAGGCCTTGGACAGGACACAAAGACAAAACAATAATCCAGGATAAGGGAAACCATCAGCATATACACAGTACAGAAAGCTGAGTGGATCTGCTGAGTCATGGCTATGGGCTAATTATATATGACTTTAAAAAAAAAGGAGAGCGGGGCAAGATGGCGGACTAGGCAGAAGGATTGCACAGACCCTCTTCAACAAAGAAAAGGGAAACCAATAAATACAGACACAGAAGATAATCTTGGACCCCTGAGCCTTGAAGGAAAGGATGCAGATTTGGACTAAACCCCAACTAGCAGAAGAATTTG